TCAATAGGAGAGACTAGCCTCAAGGCAAATAGCATGCACCTCTTGATGGCTGAAATGGCAGGCACATATATAGAGAGAAGGAATTGATGGCAGCTGTCATTTAAGACTATTTACCACTTGTGTATTATGAATATCTTCTAGTTTTAACTTTCTTTTCACACTTTTAAGGTGTCTTTGATGAACTAAAATTCTTAATTTTAATATAGCCAAATTTATTCATCTCTTCTTTTGTAGTCAGTGCTTTTTGTATCTGTTTAAGAAATCTTTCCTTGCTATGAGTTCCAAGAGATATTCATCTTTGTTTTCTACTAAGAGATTTTGAAGTTTTATTTTTGACACTTAAGTCCTTAATTCTTCTGAAGTTGATTTTTGTTTATGACTTGAGTAGGAATCTGATTTTATTATTTTGATTGGATATAGAATAACCTTCCTTTCCCACTGATCTGACATACCACTTCTGATATGTGCTAAGGCTTCCCAAATGTATGGGAGACTGTCTTGGGGATCACTGTTCTGTCCCATAGGTCTGTTTGTCTCATCTTGCCCTGTCTTCATTACACTAGCTTCATAATTGGCCCTGATTTTTTGAAGAGCAAGATTCCTCCTCTTTGGTCTCTTTATTCACAATATCTTGGCTTTTCTTAGTCCTTTACAGTTCCATATAAATTTTCGAATTATCTTACTAGGTTTTAAGAAAGTCCTTATTGAGATTTTCATTGGAATAATATTGACTCTATAGATTAATTTAGGGGAGAATCGATAAGTTTTTGATATTAGCTTCCTATCTAAGAAAATAGTATATTTCCATTTATATATTATAGATTTTGAAAATTATCTTAACAAAGTTTAAAATTTTAATTGTTAAATTTCTTTTGAGATACTTGATGTTCTCTAAGACTGTTGTAAATTGTGTTTTCTCTTTAATTACATTTTCTAGTTGCTTGCTGCTATTGTATAGAAGTGTAGTAACTTTTGCATTAATCTCATATCCAGCCACCTTGCTAAACTCTCCTAGTATTCCTAAATTTTTTTCAGTGTATTCATTTGGGGTTTTAATGTAAATAATTTTATCATCTATAAATGATAACAGTTTTATTTCCTCTATTCTAAAAATTATGCCTCTGTTTTAAAAAAATCTTTCTTATTCTGGTCTCTTCCCCATTTTTTACTTTCAATTCTTGTTGAAAACAGCAAGTTGAATCAGAAATGGCTGAGACAAATACATAAGCCCTTTTATTTCGTTATTCACACAAAGCAATAAAATTAATGTAAATGTCTATTAGAAGATGTGGCTACAGAAAAATAAATGTGGCCTGTCCTAGTGACATTCATGGAAAAGAAAGGGTTTCCTCAATGATCTGCAGTCTGAGAAGTTCTATGGGTTCTTTTCTCCTCTGTTGTACAAGTTTTATTTTGAAAACTATTATCAGGTGTTGCATTTTTAAAAAGCAGCATTAGGTTGTCTCCTCTCAAAACCCTGTTTCTTAGTGCCAAGACCTTACTGTCAGAGATTAGTCATAACCTTGGTCTCCCTGAGAAGGTTCTTCAACCCCAAGTTTACTTATTTATGTAGCATTTTCACCTAGATTTAAATCTCCACAAAGATCTCACAAAAACGATTTAGAACGATAGGGTTTTTAACATCTTTTTAAAAAAGTCATTCTTCTGATTCTTTTTCACTTCTAGATCCACAGTCTGATTTCCTGCAAGGTACTGCTAAATTCTTTTTGATTGTTCACACAGATTGATTTGCAGTAAATATGACATTTGAGATGTAGGGTAAAAATCACTGAAATTTCAAGAATAAAAAAAAGAAAGAAAGAATAAAAAAAAGAAAGAAAAAAGAAGGAATATTTTAATAAAAATACTGGATTAAAAAATTCTCACTCTGACCATTTAAGAGTAACTTAAAGAAGCTAGACTTTGTAAGTATTAATTTTTAAATATATTATTAATTTTTTGGGCTAAATTTTTCTTTCTATTTTTCAAAGAGTAAGTGTATATTACACTTTTGCTTGTTAATGTTCAACTTAAGCTTGTGGAATCTTTCTTAGAACTTATTTTTTATGGCGAAAATGTATCACCTAAACTTAGCTAATACACGTAGTTAATCCAGAAAAATCATCATCGCTGGCATTATTGGCTTGATAAGTTATTATTATATACTCTTTGCTGTCAAGGTTTTTTCCAGTGACAAGTGTAGAAATAAACAAAAAGTCTGACTCATTTTTATTACCTGAGCAAAGTTCACTACTAGGAATTTGCCTTTAACTTATTTATCTATTATGTCAGTCAGACTTCCAGAGGTCAATGTGATCACTAACCTGTATAATTGTGATGCTCTCTCGACAATAAAATTGTTTTTTAAAATGTTTACTTTCAAATTATTTATTGTTCACTCTCAAAATGTGTATTTTAGTAATTAGCCCTTGATAATACAATTAGTAGGTGCTAAAGTTCCCGAGCCTGTGTTCTTACCCAGTCTGCTAAATGCTAGGGACAGTTCTACTTGGGCCTGTACAAGGACTAGGGCATCAGTAGAAATGATCAGATGATTCCAAATGAAAGAGGCCTTGGAACTATGGTGCTTAGGCTATTGTTGAAGGCTACCTTTTAAAACTAACTATAGGAGATAACATCTGTTACTGAATATCCATGGATGTCTAATAAACCAGAGTTGCAGCTGCTAGAGTGGAGAAAAGAGTCACAGGATAGTGGTTAACATGTTATCCCGGGGTCCTGGATGTAGGTCCCAGTTCTACCATTTACCAGTTGTGTGATTCTTGGAAAAATTATGTAACCTCTCCACTCTGTTTCCTCATCTGTAAAATAGAGGTGATAATCTTAGTATGAAAATATGGAGTGCATGGTGTCCAGTGTATAATAGGTGCTCTATAAATGTTCATTTAATTATTATTATTATTGTTTTGAAATTGAAAATTACTATAACAACACAAAAAATATCATCTCCATTTCTCTTGTCTACATTATGGAGACAGAGATAAATGTAAGTCATAAGCTTCCACATTTTAGGAAGAGATATGTTTCTAGCCTGATGTAAATTTTCCAAAGTTCAAGGAATAACAATTTAATTGCCTCATCAAATAATTACACTGGTAAAATGTACTCTAGGAAAAAAAAAATGAGAAAAATAAAAGACCATCAAAGGGAAAAATACTAATAATAAATGTTTAGATGTCCTACCTTAAAAAATTATTGAGCCCCTTATTGTAATAATAAATTTTATAGAAAGAATCAAAATTTTTTGCAAAATTTCTGATGGAATGATTACTTTGTTGAGTTTCTACTATGTGCTAGGCAACATGTAGGGCAGAAATGATAGGAGAAAGAACAGGACACACACATAGTCTCTGACCTCATGGACTGATGGGACCACACACCCCCAACATGCTGTTTCTGAGTTACATAATTTTTTTTTTTTATTTCAGCATATTATGGGGGTACAGATGTTTAGGTTACGTATGTTGCCCTTGCCCCCCTCCCCCCAATATTTTAATATAATGTCCAAAGATAAATGTTTACACAGACATCTCTTCATGTATGAAAGAACTATCAGTTGCATATTAGATGAAAACATTTGGTCACACAATTGGTTACATAATAGGAGCAAATTTATCTTTGAATATTTAAGAATTAACTTCTAAAATGCCGACCAGGGGCAGAGGTACCACTTTGTCACAGCACATTCTGGGGAGGCTATGGGTATAAGTTTGCTTCTTTGTCCCTCTCCTATGTGGTGGTTATATTCTAAGATAGTTTAGTTTGGGAGCAGAGTAGTTGAGTATGTGAAGGCCATCCCTGGGTAAGCATGATCCTTTGACCCAGTTAAAATATATTTAACATAGAAGGAAGGCCTATGTTCAATATTTTATTCATTTATTTATTTTAATTTTACTTTTACTTTTTTTTTAGAGAAGGGTCTCTGTTGCCCTGGCTGGAGCTCAGCGGTGCTATCATAGCTCACTGCAGCCTTACACTCCTGGGCTCAAGCAATCCTCCTGCTTCAGCCTCCTGAGTACCTGGGACTACAGGCATGCACCACCATGCCTGGTTAAATTTTCTTATTTTTTTGAGATCAGCCCGCCACCACGCCAGGCCTGTTCAGCTTTTTAGATGGTAAATGGCTGTAAAATTATGCAGTAACCCAAACAAAACAAAAACCAGAATCAAAAGAATCTGCCTATCAAAAAAGAGTAATTCAATAAGGAGTTAGAAATTATAATACCAAACAGATATCACTGCAGATAAAAATGGATGCCGTTTACCTTCTGAATTAATTCCTGACTTCTCACCGCGGTATTCGTAGCCAGCCACATCTCCCCTATTCGCATGTCAAGGCTGGTCTTTCAACACTTGTGGCACACTGGCCCAGCTGGCCTCTGTGCCTTTGCCCATTCTGTGTCCTCCACCTGGAAGGCTTTCCCTGTTTGCGGCTCAGTAACAGTTACCAAAGTCCTGCCCATTGTCACATGCAGCGGACATGCTACCTCTTCCACCCTGGAATAGCTACCACCTTTGACCCCGGCATTCCACATGCTCTGCAGACACTTGCTGTGCCCAACTTCCCTGATGGTTATTTGTATACTTAATTTCTCCACTGGGGGCTGTGGGCAGGGATCCTCTTCGTACCCAGGGCCTCATCCAGAGTTCCACAGAGTGGGGTTGCAAGAGTGAAGTGGAAACATTACAACAGGCTCCTCCCAAAGTGTTGTATGAAGCAAGAAAAACAAAACTATAGAAGATGGAAGATAAATATAATTTATATCCTAGAGACACAGAAAACCGAGGTATAAAACTGATGATATGGTTTAAGATTAAATGAAAAAGAGAAAGCCTTACTGCTGTCTTCAGAATACGTTATAATTAAGTCTAACAGTGACATCGCTAAGCTATATAAAGCGGTCTTTGTTTGGTTCCCTCTTTTACTAAATTGATAAGAAAAAATTACTTGAAAATAAAAAAAGAACCTTGTTTTTCAGGGCCAGTTCTGTGACTATTGCAACTCTGAGGACCCCAGGAAGGCACATCCAGCCACCAACGCAATCGATGGATCTGAACGATGGTGGCAAAGCCCTCCTCTCTCCGCAGGCACCCAGTACAACAAAGTCAACCTCACCTTGGATCTGGGGCAGGTGGGTTATTGGAATGGAAACATGAGTTTGGATCACGGTTTCTGCAGTGATTTTTGACATAACAATAATTATTGTAAAAAACAAACTTCAGCTTTAATTCACTAATCATTGTTAAACCTGTGACGTTAATATTTGCCTCCCTTAAAACCCAGAACAGTGCCTAGCACAACGCAGATCCCCATTTTTATGAATTAAATGAGTTACAAAGGCCAGGCATGGTGGCTCATGGCTGCAATCCTAGCACTCTGGGAGGCCAAGGTGGGAGGAGCCCTTGAGCCTAGGAGTTCAAGACCAGCCTGGGCAATAGTTAGACCCTGTCTCTACAAAAAAACAATTAGCCAAACGCATAATGTCACACACCTGTAGTCCTAGCTACTTGGGAGGCTGAGGCAGGAGGATCACTTGAGCCCAGGAGTTTGAAGTTGCAGTGAGCTATGATTGTGCCACTGCACTTTAGCTCGGGCATCAGAGCAAGATTCTATCTCCAAAAAAAAAAAAAAGTTTTCAAATAGTTTCAGGCCACTGCACTCCACCCTGGGTGACAGAGAGAGACCCTGTCTCTAAAATATATGTATATGTAAATTAAAATTTTAATAAATATATCTTTGCCAATGAAACTATTTAAAAACTTTTGTGTATAGAGTGCAGTTTATATAAGAGATACTGCTTGAAAGAAATAAAAAAGGGAACTACATTCCACAGTTTGGAAATTAAATGATACTGAGATTTCTTTGAATGTGTTATTTTCATTGTGATTGGGCATAATTTTGTGATAGAAGTGCTCTCAACCTCTTTGGCCCCTATGTTGTGCTAAATTAGACCTCTCCTGAGAATATTTTCACCATCTATTTGCATCTGGTGTAATTCACAGAGATGCTTCAAGGTTCAAAGACTCTAGAACCCCCATTTCAGCTCTGAATTAGTCTTATCCCTATGATAGCTAACCTCTAGCTAACCTCTAGATTTTGCCTGTAGTGACCAGGATTTACCTATAATATCATTTATTTAACTGAGGATTTTTGTATTTAACAGGGAATTTTAGCCCGTCCAAATGATCCATACTGAACGCACCCATGCCTGCTGGACTTGTTCTTTTCTCCTTAGAACTATTTTTTTTTTAAAGCACTTTAAAAGCATCCTTTTGATGTACTGAAGAACCCGTAATTAAAACAGTTAAATTAAGAAAACATAACACAGGAACAGTTTAGTAATTTGCTGGTGGCTGGCAAACATTAGTCATAGTATACATAATCATGAAGACAGTGTGTCCACCCACCTGCTCTGTGCGTGTGGGTGCTGGTGTGGGCCAGCCTCGGTGTATGGCTGAGCACACTGTTCACTTGCGGTGTGGCCCTGAGCCACAGACTTAACTGCTCTCTGCCTCAGTTTCCTTGTTTGTAAAAATGAGATTGTTTTTTGAGGTTTAAATGAGTTAACTGCTTCATTTTAAACCTCTTAACAGCAGTGGTAATAATTTTTATTTGATAAAATAAAGTGAACTTTGATAAACGCTTGCTAAAAAGAATAGACTCATAACTTTTGTGCCTCTAGGAAATACTGCATATAATGCTGTAGACAATTCTCCAGAAAGGTCTAGGAAAAGGAAAAGCAATATAAAAATTATGTCAGACTGAACACATTTCTTTCCTCTTTTATGTTGGAGCACATGTGTTTTAATGAGCATGTTTTGTCTTGTAGGATTCATATTTTATGCCCCATTGGTGAGATCTGTGTTTTCTTCCTTTTGCTGGAATCAACCATGAGAATGTTATTTATTTATTTATTTATTTATTTTGAGACAGAGTCTCACTTTGTTGCCCAGGCTAGAGTGCCGTGGCGTCAGCCTAGCTCACAGCAACCTCAAACTCCTGGGCTCAAGCGATCCTTCTGCCTCAGCCTCCCAAGTAGCTGGGACTACAGGCATGCGCCACCATGCCCGGCTAATTTTTTTCTATATATTTTTAGCTGTCCAATTAATTTCTTTCTATTTTTGGTAGAGACGGGGTCTCGCTCTTCCTCAAGCTGGTCTTGAACTCCTGAGCTCAAACAATCCGCCCGCCTCAGCCTCCCAGAGTGCTAGGATTACAGGCGTGAGCCACCGTGCCCGACCATTAGAATGTTATTGAGAGGCTAGATTTCATAATTTAATAGTAACATTAAGACCTTAGAGGTAGAGAAGTATGAATTTTGATGCATGGTTGGGAAATAAAATGCAGATCATAAACTTTTTTTTCACCTTCCGAGAGCTGAAATTAGATTATGATGTGCCATTGTCAATTTGACAGCTTATGTTTCCACGAGGGGCTCATTTTCTTTGTCTCCTTTTGGACTAGTTGGTGTTTTTCATTGTTATTGTTCTTGGCCAACACAGTTTGACAAATGAAAACATTACCTTCAGGGCTGAAGGGCAGTTTCCCCCTTGCAGGCTGGCAAATGCAGGACATTTCTGTGACTCACTGGAGGCATCATATTTTCTGGGGTTGTTCATTTGATTATACATTATGCATCACTTTCAAGCTATAGAGTAAGAACACAGTGTCTTATATGAAGCTTTCATATCATCTGGCCAAGTATCATGAGCTCATTTTTATATTTAAAGCAAAATGTGGATGTCCAGTTTTTAAAAGGAGGATCTTTGGTATACAAGAACATTTGTCTTTCCTGGATCCTGGTGGGGTGTGACCTCCAGCAGTGTCCCCCTGTGAGATGGGAAGGTATAGCCATGGGGTCTACATACAGACCTGGGACTTCCTTCAGAACGCAGATGAGTCTTACTCTGGGGACTCTATATGTTCACTCTCCTGCTCCCACCCCAGGGTGAGATGTAAGGGAGACGTGTGGATGTGGGAGTGGCCTGGAGGTTGTAAAGTGCTGGCTCTCGGGTGGGAATGAAGAGGAGAACCAGCTCAGGGGTGAGAGGGCACCATGCAGAGCAAGCCTGACTCACTATGTTCCAGGGAACCACAGGACAATCATCTTGAGAAGAATTTTAAGGTTTTTATGCAACTTGTAATATCCCCAAGAGTATGATTTTAAACCTGTTAGTGGTAAAAATAAACAAAGACAATACAACTTCCCAAAAAACCCCTACAGTCACAAAAGGGTTGAGTGTTTGCTTCAGAGGTTGGAGGCAGTGGTGCCCCCCACCCCCCACTCGTTTTGCAGGCTTCCAGGGAAAGAGGCCCATGAGAGCAGATGGTGACAGCAGAAGAGAACCACTGAGACAGTCCTTTGGGCCCTGTAGAGAAAAAGGCTGGGATGCTCACAGCTCCCTGGTCCCCCTCTGAGTGGTGGGTCTGATGGACAGTTCCTGTGCCTGTCCCCTTGCCCATCTCAAGGGCCTGCATCTGACTAACTCTGTGTTTTCTGACTGAAGGCTGTTTCTAGGGCCATGGCAGTTTTTAACAGCTGTGTCTACAGCAACCTGGAAGTCCAGCATTTAATGCTCCAAGAGGGATGGGAATTGGTGGAAAACCCCATTTCCCTGCCTCTCAGTGGGACAATTCTTTCTTTCTTTCTTTTTTTTAGACAGGGTCTCACTCTGTCACCCAGGCTAGAGTGCAGTGGCGTCGTCATAGCTCACTGCAACCTCAAACTCCTAGGCTCAAACAATCCTCCTGCCTCAGCCTCCCGAGTACCTGGGATTACAGGTGCATGCCACCATGCCCAGCTGCAGTGGGACGGTTCTGAAATGCGTTCTACACAATTCTTCAGTGTTCCTGGTGGGATTGAGCCTCCGTTGGGTTGCCCATAGTAATCTGCTCATGAACATATCGGTTGTTGGCTTTTCTCCCTCCCCTGTGTTCCTCTCTCCCCCAACTTGTGCTTCTTGAGGTCAACTCCTAAATAAACTACCTGTACCCAAGTCTTTGCCTCATGGCTTTAGAGAGGACACAGACTAAGACAGAAGAAAGAGAGCCTAGGTAGGTGTGGTGGCATGGACCTGTAGTCCCAGCTACTCAGGAGGCTGAAGTGGGACAATCGTTTGAGCTCAGGAGCTCAAATACAGCTTGGGTAGCATAGTAAGACCCTGTCTCTAAAAAAACAAATAAAAAAAGGAAAGTGAGCCTAGTCCTGAAACCCTACCCCTCCAAGTGTTCGCCCAAGTAAATGCTATGAAACAGTTATTTAAAATGCAAGATTATGTGTGGGAGGTTTGTATGGGCAAGATGGGAAGTAGCATGTCAGCCTGATAGCTTGAGATTGGTCTTGGTGAGAGAATTTACACTATAGGAATCAGCAAATGTTACAAATCAGGGCTTCTTCTTTCCAAGAGACAGTTTACCAGCATCCTCTCTGTCTCTTCCTCATGCCTCCTCCTCTTACTATTTCATCATTACATCTTGCTCCTGACATCTCCAGAGCCCAGCGCCTCCTCTCTGTTGTTACTGCCTATTCTAGTTTGGCCCTTGACAGCTCTTTCTGTGATGAGTCCGCCAATCTCCTCACTGATTTCTCAGCCTCTCTTCTCAGCTCACCTTGTTCTGTAGTCGGCCCGAGAGGAAAAAATCCTTAATGGTGAGATGAGAAAGATTAGAAACAGTTGGAGTTGGCCGTCTTCAAAGGGCCTACCTGTCAATCTTCTCCTTGCTTCCAGGGTGAAACAGAGATGTCAGCATGTCTTTCTTTCTTTTTTTTTTTTTTTCTATTTTTACAGTAAGTGTGGCCTGACAGTCATTCTCCTTCATTAACATCCTTTAGTGGTTTTCCGTTACTTTTGGAATACAGTCCAAGTTTCTTAACGTGGCACAGATGCCCCTTTACTGTTTAGCCCCTACCTTTTTGCCAGCCTCATCTTTAGATGCCACTTTCTCCTGCAAGCTCTGTGCTACATCCGTTGGGACCTAACTGTAATTCCCTAAATATACCATGTCATTTCCTGCCTCTGGGCCTTATTTTGGTGCTATTCATGGCTCTTGGGGTTCCTTCCCACCTTGCCTGGTCTGGCTACCTTCTTCCCAAGATAACTCAGATATCACCTGCTGGAAACCCTCCCTGGC